TTATATTATAATTTGGCATTAATTAAATTTAATGATGCCAGAACTGTTAGAAATTTATACCCTGCTTGAGAGCTTCTAAACCAAGGTTTGGTATGCTATTTACAGCAAAATTGACCTATGAGTGCTTTCAAATACCTAAAAATTGTACAATTTTTCCTCTTTTAAGGTAATTTTAAGATTTTAAACAGAAATAAGGGAAAAGTTTTAGAAATTTACCCCAAAAATGAGACAGACTTGAGGTTTTTCACTATGATCTGGCATTCATTTTTAAATCACTTTTTGTCGCGTTTAAACATCAACTGCTAACCTTCATAAAATCTTTATTACTGGACCAATTTTAAAAACTAAGGTACCATTTTAATCGTAACAGCTAGTAGAACACAGAAAATATACTAAAAATTGAGGCAGGAGGGGGAAAATTTCATCTTAAGGTAGCACTCCACAGTTAGGTGTGTAGTTTCGCATTTTGGCCCCTGTGAATTTTTCAAATATGAGAGCTAGTGTGCAATAAAATTCATTTTTGGATAGCTGAGGATTAAAATAGCCTTCCTATTGGGTTTATATGAACATCAAGATTATGTAATGTATGTAATATAGGCTGTTTTCTGTATGACAGTCCGTATTTGCATATCCATACCATACATTGGTCCGGCAATTATTGTAATGTTTTTTTCCAACTTTTTGTCGCACGAACTTTGTAATTAAATTTTACGAAAAAATGAGGCAAAAGACACCCATTTTTTATTTGATTATTAGGAAGATTAATGTCACCAGTTTCTAAAAAGGTATTACTCATTGGCATTGAAATTCTAGTTTGATCCAAATTTGGGGGGGGGGGGGGGGATATGTGACATTTTCACCCCCCTTTTTGCAATATTTTATGGTTAATAAATGCAGAATGTTGCCATGGATACACATAGAAGGAATTATATTTCACCCTTTTAACTTTTGAAAATCAAATCTATGGAAGATACTGATTACATACATATGCACATGTACAACACAAACAGTTAGGTTAATGTATTAGAAATCCAGGAATAGGAGATGATAAAATATTTTGTGGTTCATTTTTAATCTTATATTCTAACTGTGGAGTGCTACCTTATGGCACACCAGAAAGCACAGAAATGCCTTTTTAAAGATAAATTTGACCACAAATCTTTAGTCTTTTAGGTTCTTGTTTTAGTTCTGAAGGTAAAAAATCTGCTAGGATTGCAATTCATGTTTATTTTATTGTTTACTGTCCTTAGCAACCAAAGATACACATTTTGACACTTAGACATGTTGCGATCTTAAATTTGTACTCCATTAGCTTCGCCCTTGTAACCAAAGATTGCGCTTTATATGATATCCTCAGAATGTATCGCTTTATATTTTTGAATGCGAATAAGTCAAATAAACATTTTTAGCAGGATTTTATATTATAATTTGGCATTAATTAAATTTAATGATGCCAGAACTGTTAGAAATTTATACCCTGCTTGAGAGCTTCTAAACCAAGGTTTGGTATGCTATTTACAGCAAAATTGACCTATGAGTGCTTTCAAATACCTAAAAATTGTACACTTTTTCCTCTTTTAAGGTAATTTTAAGATTTTAAACAGAAATAAGGGAAATGTTTTAGAAATTTACCCCAAAAATGAGACAGACTTGAGGTTTTTCCCTATGATCTGGCATTCATTTTTAAATCACTTTTTGTCGCGTTTGAACATCAACTGCTAACCTTCATAAAATCTTTATTACTGGACCAATTTTAAAAACTAAGGTACCATTTTAATCGTAACAGCTAGTAAAACACAGAAAATATACTAAAGATTGAGGCAGGAGGGGGGAAATTTCATCTTAAGGCACACCAGAAAGCACAGAAATGCCTTTTTAAAGATAAATTTGACCACAAATCTTTAGTCTTTTAGGTTCTTGTTTTAGTTCTGAAGGTAAAAAATCTGCTAGGATTGCAATTCATGTTTATTTTATTGTTTACTGTCCTTAGCAACCAAAGATACACATTTTGACACTTAGACATGTTGCGATCTTAAATTTGTACTCCATTAGCTTCGCCCTTGTAACCAAAGATTGCGCTTTATATGATATCCTCAGAATGTATCGCTTTATATTTTTGAATGCGAATAAGTCAAATAAACATTTTTAGCAGGATTTTATATTATAATTTGGCATTAATTAAATTTAATGATGCCAGAACTGTTAGAAATTTATACCCTGCTTGAGAGCTTCTAAACCAAGGTTTGGTATGCTATTTACAGCAAAATTGACCTATGAGTGCTTTCAAATACCTAAAAATTGTACAATTTTTCCTCTTTTAAGGTAATTTTAAGATTTTAAACAGAAATAAGGGAACAGTTTTAGAAATTTACCCCAAAAATGAGACAGACTTGAGGTTTTTCACTATGATCTGGCATTAATTTTTAAATCACTTTTTGTCGCGTTTGAACATCAACTGCTAACCTTCATAAAATCTTTATTACTGGACCAATTTTAAAAACTAAGGTACCATTTTAATCGTAACAGCTAGTAGAACACAGAAAATATACTAAAAATTGAGGCAGGAGGGGGAAAATTTCATCTTAAGGTAGCACTCCACAGTTAGGTGTGTAGTTTCGCATTTTGGCCCCTGTGAATTTTTCAAATATGAGAGCTAGTGTGCAATAAAATTCATTTTTGGATAGCTGAGGATTAAAATAGCCTTCCTATTGGGTTTATATGAACATCAAGATTATGTAATGTATGTTATATAGGCTGTTTTCTGTATGACAGTCCGTATTTACATATACATACCATACATTGGTCCGGCAATTATTGTAATGTTTTTTTCCAACTTTTTGTCGCACGAACTTTGTAATTAAATTTTACGAAAAAATGAAGCGAAAGACACCCATTTTTTATTTGATTATTAGGAAGATTAATGTCACCAGTTTCTAAAAAGGTATCACTCATTGGCATTGAAATTCTAGTTTGATCCAAATTTTGGGGGGATATGTGACATTTTCACCCCCCTTTTTGCAATATTTTATGGTTAATAAATGCAGAATGTTGCCATGGATACACATAGAAGGAATTATATTTCACCCTTTTTACTTTTGAAAATCAAATCTATGGCAGATACTGATTACATACATATGCACATCTACAACACAAACAGTTAGGTTAATGTATTAGAAATCCAGGAATAGGAGATGATAAAATATTTTGTGGTTCATTTTTAATCTTATATTATAACTGTGGAGTGCTACCTAAGGCCCGAAAAGGGTTATTTAACTGATTCTTATCAAAATTATTTTTAAAGTAAACAAACAAAAATATTTGAAATATACAATTTTAAACAGCAAAAGATGCGATAGGTTAAAACAGATATTCCATATTTTTGGAATAATTTTTCGGTGAATCGTAAATTATATCATAGTTTTTTTGTTGAAACCCCTCGGCAAGGTTATTGCCGGGGGTTTCAACAAAAGCTATGGTATAATTTTATATGAAACACCGCAAAACTATCTAAAAGATATGAAATATCTATAACTTATTGACAAATGAATTTAATCACCCACAAAATCAGCATTAAAGAAAAGTTATTTTCTGAGATAAAAATAAACACAAAACCATGCTCATTTTGTCATGAAATAATACTAATCTGTCAGCTTCACATAGGTCACAACCGCTAAAGCGCTTAGGTATTCAAGTAAGAAAGACTGTTCTTCAACAACAGAGGTCACCATAAGCTACGTGACTGTTAATAAATCCCATGGTAACTGCAGAAATTGTAAAAAACGGTTTTACGCTAACTTATGAAGTAAGGATGAAAGTTCAGAGGAATCTAACAAACCGCAAGCAAAAGAAATAGATAATAATAAAGAATCAAACTCTTCACTCATACAGAGAACCACACATATATTGTTAAATGCTGTAGTTGCTAATGTTAGTCTGGCAAAACAAATTACAAAAGTCTATATTCTTACGGAGGTGCGCTAAGTTCACTGATAACACTGACACCAACTTAATAGTTAAATTAAGCAATCAGTGGAATCGACGAAATAATATTTCCGGATTTTAAAAGACATAATCGGCAACAGCATTCATTCAAACAGATGGGGGCGAAATGAATGTTCATTTTATTCAGGAAATGACAACACTACTAAACTGACCTGATATCCGCTGCTGAAATCACGAAACACTTGTGTGTACTGAAGTTAGCGCATTCAATGGCCGACGATGAAATGTTTAAAAAAGAACTATTGATCGGAGCAGATTATAACACATGAGTATTGTTTGAGATACCATAATAAAAGTTTTACATGTTTATTTTACATGCTCGCCACAAATATTGAACGCATTATTACTAACAACACTTGAATGACCATCCATCTGATATAACAGAAACTTGACTAAAGATTCATTAAGCTTTAAACAAAAGGAAGAGCTGTTGAAATACTTTAAAACTCGTTCTTAGTCAACTTAAAGATGGCGGAATTCATGCGAATATCCACCTCAAAATACCAAATGTTCGAAATAGTAGCCACATCTGGAGACGTTTCGACAAAGATCAACTGATTAAAATCTAAGTGTTAAGTAAAACAATAATTTATGATTTACAACCCGCTTGGTGATATTAGCCAAATAACCGTTCGTAGTAAAATGTAAAAGCAAAAAAAAAAAAAAAAAAAAATTGGAGAAAAACGGGAACAAATTCCTTTCTTAATTAATAATCGCAGAATAGATGATTACCTGAAGGAATATATACAGGAAGCTATAAAAAGTTCATGATTTAAAATTTAAATTTGTAAAGAAAAAAAATGTAGCGTCTGGAATACATTTATATAATGACACGTTTCTTCAGTATATATTTTTTTTCCTTTCATTGGTAAACTGATAAATGAACTATATTTTTTAAGTTATTACAATGGACTAATAAGTATAAAAACACAATATTCATGACGATCAATATCAAATCCGGTGAAATAAGTCATTTATCGTTCAAATGTTTATTACAGGTATAAAGTTTGGATCCGCACTTTATTTCCAGATATCATTTGGAATATTAATTTTTATAATTATAGTAGCTGTTAGTTGTGTGGTGATATGTCGAAAAACAATGACGGGTAAGTTTTCAGGGATTACAATGTACAAGTAAACATGCTACAGAGTGATATATAACAGTTCAACTATCTAGAAGCAAGAAACATATATATCCACCCAAAAAATGGTCTGTACACACATATTTGATTTTTAAGTCATCTCTCGAGAGACGAACTTACAACCATTTTATACATCCTTCGACAATCATGCGCGTAGCATGTAAAGATAGGGGTTCTTACCACTACACCAGATCCAATCCTCGAAAGAGCAAGTTTCACTATGGTAGTGTTACCTTTGCTTGTCACGAAATACACTTTAAGCGCTTTGATTAATTACGTTTTCCTCCAACCGGTTTCACAAGTCTGTGATAATCATTGATGAAACAATGTAAATGAAGTAAATGGTTACGGAGGAAAATGGAAATTAATTAAAGGACTTATAGTGCATTTAAAATTATTTTTTCTTATACTTCTACTTGTGTGGATGCAGATTCAAGTTCAATATATACACGTACATAATAAAAACAACGACTAACTACAAAAGTTTGACTGTATCTAAAATAACTTATACACAAAGACATAACTTTCACGGTAATGCAAAAAGTAAGACATATTTTTCTTTTTAGATGTATTCGTAAAATGTAATTACAGAAAAGTATCAATCGATATTATATATACTACAAACCTACGGGTACAAAACAAAATTTGTTTGGGTAACTCATGCCGCCATGGCACACTTATAACAATATACTTCTCAATTTGGCAAGAACCATATGTACCATTGTTTTGGATGTAATATACTCAAACGTTTAAGCGAACTATAATGTTTCCTTCTAAGTCGTTATTATCCCAAAAAATTAACAAATAGAGCAAAAGAGAATGCAAGATCAATTGAAAAACAAGATATGAGAAAACCATAGAATATAAATAACAAAAGACGTGTAATGCCTTATATATCGTCTTTCGATTCTAAGAACCCAGCACATTATCAACTTATTCGGAATATTTCCCAAATACTTCAAACACATCGAAAAATGAACACTGTACTTTAAAATACGATTAACCGTAAATGAAAATTATATGCCTTTAAAAATTACTATGTACCAAAACCAAATTTGACTGGCCAACACTATTCTGAAACAAAAAAGATGTTGAAGACCAAACTGTGGTACTTGTTATTAAACTAAAAATATGAGATTGATTTTTCCTGTCTTGAAATAATATATATGTTAGACTCAGATCGACGTCCGGTCTCTAATCGACGTCCGTTCCTCAAATCGACGTCCAAATCTGACGTCACATTCTCAAATCAGTGTCCAATATTGTAACCCTCTAATCGACGTCCAATGTGACATCATGTATTGCCAAAACAACGTCCAATCGATTGTAGTCTTTTCTAATCGATGTCCAAAATTAATAGATAATAAATTACTGCACGTTTACATGTACATGTATAAGACTTTGATTGATTTTGGAACATTCAAGTACGAAATAAAATCTCTTTTGTAGGGTTCTTATAACAACTCAATTTTCAAACAGTTAAAGACTTTCCATTGAGATTTGTTCAACCCGAAATAGGTGACAGATGTATTGATATTCATTTGCATATAAGGTCGATTTCTATCCGACGTAGTATTATTGTTATTAGATTGATCTTTATTTATATCATCTGTATCGTTTTGTCTTTATGTAAAGCTGCATAAAGAAACGAATTGTTTTCTAATATCTTATTTAAAAATAAAAGGACAAACATTAGAAAATGACAATAAGTCAACAACCGACATGTCGACCCAACATGTTTCGGCGTTTGGATCTTTGCTTATTCCGTTTTTTTTTTTTTTTTTTTCTCTTCAAAACATATCCTTCTTTAGGTACTGCACTGTAAATTTTGCGGACGCCTGACGCGTCCGGACGCGTTCCAATTTTAAACACAATATGTTCGGTTATTAACACTCGTGTTCCACATTGAACACAAGCGTTAAAAAGTATAACACATTGTGTTCAGTCTTTTAACGTACATGTTCAAGAACAGTGTTCTGAATTTGAACACTTTAGTGTTCTAATACTGTAATGGGGGTGAAATAATATTTCATAGCTTTAGAGTCAAAAAGACGATGAATAAGGATGGTTAATATCATAATTTGACGATAACTGTATTTTAGCTGTATCCACATAACCAAATTATAGTTGGGTAAAATAAACTTTGAAACATGTCACAGTAGCGTATTTATAAGCGTGGAAATGGTCGATTTTTAAGATATATCTTTTTCCAAAAGACTTAAGATCTTTGGGTAAATTTTTTAACCAATGTCAATACGTAAATGATAATGAAATCGTTGGTATTTTAAAAGCGTTCTGGTCGCGAACATGATGCGTTCCAACTAATCATTTTTTCTGAACGCCATGTGTTCCAAACATGTCTGTTTAAATAAAGCACGTGACGTATTAATGTACCGGAAGTTTGTTTTTTGAGCGCGCTTGTTATGAATTGAGGAAACGTCAGTGAAGAAAATTAGCAACAAAACTTGATTTGAAGGTATGTATATCTATTTTAAATTTATAATACATTACGAATTTAAAAAATTATTTTTTAAATATTTAATCAACAAATTCCTCCTTTGACAGAACATTTTGTTTGAACACAGAACAATACACCTTATCGCTATTTGGAAATCTGTCCCGTTTGAACTTTTGACGTCATACACCAATCACTTTTCCATTGTGGCGTCAGATATTTTCTATTATGACGTCAAAATTTTACGGGAACCTTTGTGATGTCCAGTAATGGCGGACAAATAGCGATAAGGTGTATTCGTTTGTAACGTGGTGGTTATGCCATAATTTGGTTCAAAGAAATTAGGAGGTTCTTTGTGAGAATACATGAAAATGATCCTATTTTCTTATTTGTTAACCGATGTTAAAACGTAAATGCTGATGATATCGTTGCCATTGTAAAAACGTTCTGGTCTCGAACATCATGCGTTCCAACTTATCATTTTCCCTGCGTGACCATGTGTTCCAAACATTTCCGCGTAAATAATAGCACGTGACGTTTTAATTTACCCTATCAATCACAATTGGTATATACAAGTTCTAAATTGCCATCTGGAAAATCAAGGCACATAAAGCACATCATGTGTATAGAAAGCAACAATTAGATTAGGCGATTATCCACACTTTTGAGGATGTTCATTTGTTAGATTAAAATAAAAACAATGCATAAGGGTTTGTTCACATATACAAGTACAGTCAATATCAAGACAGTAAGTTGTAAAAAGACATATAATTTTAATTTTCTAATGAATATGGTATTGATAGCTTTCTCATTCTTAAATACTTAATTCTAAGTAATTCATTTCAGCAAATGTGCACCATTATGCACTTCATATTGTATTGTATTCCTTTGCTACTTTTATAGGGTACAAACATAACCACTTAGAGGTAATTGTACGTGCATACCTGGAGAATTCATAGAAAATTTCGCGTTCCTGTAACCTTGGAGATGGCTACTTATCCATCACCATAAAAGTATTTTATGTAAGTTTAAGAATTTGACGAGTGCCCATTGACTTCTTACAATTTTCAAGTTGGAGTTTTGTTCATGCAGATTTGTCAATAAAATGTGCACCTTCACAAACACTTGTGGAAATGAATCAGAAAACTATTTTAGCAGAAATCTATATACAATTTACTTCAAATTTAATCTAGGGAAGTATTTTGATAATCAAATGGTGGCATTAGACGTATACAGATCAATGATGAATTTCCTACGCATTTTTTTGAAAACAGGACTTGAAATATCATAGATTAAAGCAAATGATCATTAGTTTCTTGAGATGTTAGTAGTCAATTAAGTGACATATCTAACGAAAAAATTTTGCATAAAATACCTATGTCAATTTGATGTATACTTCCTATCATCTTTATTTCAAAAAGCAATAGAACATTAGAGTCCGATACTTGAAAATATACCACTCTTTAAAAATCAAACAGTAAAAAATATTAAACAGTATAAAAAAAAATTATCGACATGAACAATAATATTTTTACTCATACACTTTTTATTTGACATTTCAGAACTTACAGTTGGTGGATAACAAGATTAAGGAGTAGCCATAACCAAAGTAGACGAATTCTCTTAAAAAGGGAAGCTCAAAAACAATTTTAGGCGACTTAAATTATGTTTTGTATGCAAAGATAGCAGTGTTACATGAGAACTGACTCAATAACTAGCAGCATATATACAAGGTATTTTATGTTTGATATTGACTATCTGAAGTGCTATGAGGGCAGTGGATTATGGAAAATATTGGTGATGAATCAGTCATAGACCTCTGAGTTTTTTGTAAAGAAATGCAGGACAGTGCTTGACTTTAGAGGTTGCAAACGATGAGTTTATAAGCCAGTAGACTTTCTTGTAATATGATATTTTTTTGTAATATGATAATTTTTAATGTGACAAAGCTTTTTCATGATTAAAACAACAAAGATAGGCGACGTGAGGAAGAGAATCTGCAATAAATATAGACACATTTTGCCAATTAAATTATAGTGTAATTTCGAAACTGGTTATCATATGTTATGTTTCTAACTTGTCTTGTTAACTTGTAATTTTGAAGTTGCTTCAATGTTTCACATTGTATTGTACTTTTTTTAAATTTTGCCTCTTTTACTTAATTAAAGATGTTTTTTTAATTAATTTGATTATTGTTTTTACAAGACCACAAGAATGTTTCAAAGAATGGAACATGTAAAAATGTGCACTATATATAAATTTGGACACATTTTTGTTAATTTAATTATAATGCTATTTCGAATGTTGTCTTTCTAACTTGTCCAACTTGTAATTTTGAAACGTTTCTCATTGTATTCTTTTTTACATTTTGCCTCTTTTAATCTATTAAAGTTTTTTTTTAATTATTCAATTATAATTTTTACTTGACCACAAAAAATGTTTCAGATAATGGAACACTTTTTTCTGTAACATGTAAAAAAGTGTTCCAGTAGTACACCCTATGCGTTCAGGATATTAACACATATTTCTGGAACACAGTCCTAGCTTTCCAGAAGTGTTACCAGGCTTGGAACGCGTAACGGCGTACAATTTTGCTCACAAGGACATGTTCCAGAATCAAACACTACGCGTTCAAGGAGTACACACTATCCGTTCCAGAATTACACACATAATGTTCGAAAGATGCACACATGATGTTAAAAATTTGAACACCAATGTTAATATTTAGAACACGCGTTCCAGAAGTATTACAAAAGTGCGTTCAAAAAGTGTTCAGATTCTTAGCACTTTTATTTACAGTGTGTGTCTTGTTCCATTATTGAAGCCATCAACGACGTCATTTTTTGTGATAGCAGAAATCTTTTTTTAGGAGTATTTTTGAGTAATTCTTATCAGCTTAACATTGTTTACAATGCAATTATTCCTAATTTAAAAAAATATATATATACAAAACCATATATAGTATATACATCCAATAGCTAGCTATATTCTATTATCTTTTATCTGAATAACACTTTTCTGCATGGACACGTTGAAAGCTGACAGGGGGCCTCAGTCAGGGAAAATTAGTTTTATAGCTAACTCTGTAACCCTCTTTAAATCAAACATTATTATTAATTATTATCATTATTATTTAATAAAGCTATGACGTCATTGCGGCAAGTCCATAAAACGGACGTCGATTAGAGAATCCAAATATTGGACGTCGATTTGAGAACAACAAAAAAGACGTCGATAAGAGGGGCCAATCTCCGGCGCAAAGATCATATCCGTTCCGTTCAATACTTCGTAACACTACACTCAATATGACCTGAGGTCATATTAAGTGCAGTGTTGCGGAGCATGTATGGAACGGATATGAACTCTGCGCCGGAGATTGAAGAGGGGCAGAAAATTGGCCGTCGATTTGGTTTATTATCACTTCAGATTTTGACGTCGATTTGAGGAACGAACGTCGATTAGAGACCGGACGTCGATCTGAGTCTTACATATATATGCAATAACATGCAATGATGCAATGGCTGCAATGAAAATTACATTGGAAAAACTTGCAATCTAAGGAGATGAGTTACAGTTCACACACAACAGACGTCAACAAGAAAACTCCAAAAGTTATCGGAGTGGACATATAGGAAACTGAGCCATAGACCAAAATCCACAATTCAAATTTTTCCCGATATAAAGTCGTCATGCATTAACTGAGACCAAAAAAAGTAAAAGAAAAAGAAATGCATAAACATTTTCGAGCCCATACTAAGCCGGGGATAAAGTAACGTGGTATAAAAACAATCAAACGTCGTCCATAACGACGGTTTCAATGACAATTTCATTATCTTTGATGATTGAAGGTGAAACCAGTAAGATAATGGACGTTATCGTTTCATTTTGAATTTTTTTATTTTACTGTAACGCAGAATATTAAATATCGGCGTTTTTACAAATTTATTTTAAAATAAGTAATTACCGCAAGCAAACCTTTTGTAGTAAAAGTAACGTGATGGTTCATTATCAGGTCCATCAATATCTTAGTGACAAAGGCGTCTGTTATGCGAGCCCCTTTCGCTCTACAAAAAAGCAACTCCAGTTAAGGAGAAATTCTATAATAACTATTTGTTGTATGAGATATCAATGTGCATACATAGATGATTTTTATTGTGATTTTAGTTGTCAACATTATCAAATTAACGGTATATCAGTGAAGTCATATTTTGAATTTTAGATGAAGAAACGGTTCCTCCTGTGCAACAAACAAATGAAAGACAGTAAGTTGATAAGGATATCAAATTATGATAACATAAAATTGAGAATGGAAATGGGGAATGTGTCAAAGAGACAACAACCCGACCATAGAGCAGACAACAGCCGAAGTCCACCAATGGGTGAGAAACTCCCGCACCCGGAGGCGTCCTTCAGCTGGCCCCTTAACAAATATGTATACTAGTTCAGTGATAATAGACGTCATACTAAACTCCAAATTATACACAAGAAACTAAAATTAAAAATAATACAAGACTAACAAAGGCCAGAGGCTCCTGACTTGGGACAAGCGCAAAAAAGCGGCGGGGTTAAACATGTTTTTTGAGATCTCAACCCTCCCCATATACCTCTAGCCAATGTAGAAAAAACAAACGTACAACAGTACGCACAGTAAAACTCAGTTTAAGAGAAGTCCGAGTCCGATTAATATATTGTTGTGCTTATCAGTCTCGACACGTAGAATCTCATTTCACCAAATTACCTCTAAAGAAAAGTATTTGATATTTAAAATGATATTTAAAAGATGTTTATAGGTTTAATAAAGAGTGAGAATATGATATTGCCTGATGTCAATTCGAGTTATTAAATTTCAATATAGTAATAAATGAGATTTTTATGAGCTTACTATTATTTTAAAAAGAAAATAACGATAATAAAGTTGATATCAAGCGATATTCAATTCGCACGAGTCGTACCCATTTTAACCTATTTCTCTTATGGATAAAATGTCTTTGTCCTGGTGAAATGTTTTCGATGTCGCAAGTTTCAGTTAAAATATAAGTCCGCTTACGGTAATGGGAGTATTGTGTCTGGATCCAAGACTACTCTTAACATCAGACCTGTTTTATTTTGGGGTTATTGTTTGTACTCTTCAGAATAGATTTAATTTTGACAAAAAGAATATAGTCAGGTGTCGTTGTTTTGTATATAACCTCAGCGGTTTCAACAGTTGGTTGATATTAGATGATATTCTTTTATGTCTTCGTAAGATGTCGGTTTAATTTATAACAAATTTTGTTTAATGTACACCATATTTTGCTCTGATCTGATGAGACACCATATTGATTACTGACAAACATGGAAAACCTAAAACAATGACCAAATACTTATTAATGCAATATTCACAAATTTAACCATACAAACAGAGCGTAGATTAGCTGTTGTTGTTTTCAAGAGTTCGGTCTTAGGTCTCAGAATCCTCATGGTATTAAAATTCAACGAAAGTCAGACATGTTAGATATTGCAATATAGACAAATGCTCATGTCAAACAAAACAAAATTGTACATTTCAAGTTGCAAGTACAACTTATAAAATCACAATATAAGGGGAAAAACGGCAAAAATATATTTCCCTTTTTATTTCATTTTTAGGAATTTTTCTTATTCATAAAAAAAGAAATGTAATTAAATACTAAACTAATTTAGTTACAAGGTCTAATCCAAGTAAAGAAGAACAAGATGTGATCGGACACATTTAGAAAAAAGCCACAGTTTCAATATCTAAGCCGAAATGTCCAGTCATACTGAAACTGGCGCGGGGCAAACAGTCCTGATTAAAAGTCTTGTGCTGACAATGGCTCTCGGAAGAAAAAAAAAAGGATTTAAAATATTATAGGGCTTGTATACTTATATTTCTAGATATATTAAATCCAAATAGATTTCATAACACAAAATTTCAACAAACGAAAGTAGTTTTTTTTTCAAACTTGTTTTGCCTCGATTTATAAAATATAAAAACAAACCAAGTCTCTAAACGCATTCGATTGAAAAATCTAGACATATACTGCATTACAGCTCGGAACTTCTCTATACAAAAAAAAACATGGCCATATTTGAATTAGATATTCTCAATTAGAAAATATAAATCACTAAATGACTAAAATACAAGGTGATCACAAGTTAGAGTAAAAGTATGGGAAAGCGTACATATTCTCAAGTCGTATTAAAACATGAAAAGCACCCGACAGCGTGTAATTTCGTGAAAATATTTTTTGAAACATGGAAAATTTAACCGCCACATTCCCCTCAACTAGACCATTGAAAAAAATTGAGATTGTCTAAAAATAAAAGGATGCAAATCTATTTAACAAATATTCAAAATAGAAAAGTCTTTCTTCCTCACTTATTTCCTTAACTCGTACTCCGTGTCACTGGGTACACCTTCCCTGTATTGAATTTATTCCAAAGCATCTACATATACATACTTCTCATCTATCACAATCAGAACTTTACCTCATTAATGGGCGGCAAACAATGTTTTGGTTTAGCGAACTCTTTATGTTTGACCATTTTAGCCTTTACAGTTGGCAACATTGTATTTGCATGATGCTTGGTGATATGATGAACGGTGACTTAATGTTCCTTCACATGGTTTGAGGAGTTAAATAACTATTAACGGGAATATCTGTTTCCTAACCAAAGTGATCAGGATCTAACATATTATTAACTGAAGCTGGTTTAATGTCAGATTCATTCGACTGTATTCCATCGTCAATTTCAGGAAATTACCATGTGGCAGCAATATTTCTAAAGTAGGGATTTGAATAATACTGTCTAGGTTGAAGTCCCTTGTCATATTTTTTCTAGTAGCTTTTGATTTTGAAGTTTTCCATAACAAACGTTTTACTAAAGAAGTAATTGAAATTCAACTGGACACAGTGTATGGGTGGTTTGAAGAATTTTCTGCCATAATATCTAATGGGTAAACCATTTCACAACCAAACAACATTTTATAAGTGCAACAAGTTATGTGTCCTTAACTTCATATGCACAACCGGAATCTTGTTTTTTACTAGCAGTTTGATCAAACTGATTCAGCAGCTCTTTAAAATTTTGAAATGTCAGGGTCATTTACCTGCCATGATACATTCTTTTCATTTGTCCAAACTATAAACCAATTTGAAATTTGAGGCAATTCTTACTCATTTTCATCGATATACTTGCAGCTTTGATATAGGATATAGTTTAATTCAGTTTCACGTATATCGGTACTGACATGATTTATAATAAATCTTTCTTAAATTGTTAAGCTTCCTCACGCACAGTAGATCTTATATTGATTTAGCTATGTTAGGTCCTTTTTGGTCATATAGCTCTTCCACTGTTAGTAATCCTTAGCATTAGAATTTTTGGTTTTGTGCGTTCCTGATGAAAGTAAGTCCAGATAGCGCTTCAGACGCATATAATTTATAAAGTGGTGTTTTTTTTTTTTAATTTCAGTCACTAGTTTCAGGTATAAGAGGTGCTTGAACACATACAACTGGGTTAAGCAACACAGACTTGCTCGATTTGTATCACACCCAGGACAATCTTCACGCCGTTTACACAGCTTTTAAGGTAGTCTGATCAAAACATCAGCATTCGTATGCTTGGTACCTTTTTTAGATACTTATAAGTGTCAAATGCAAAAATTCACATAGCAACGATGCCTTCAGGGTGTTTAAAATTCATCAACTAAATAAAAGAAGCATGCTATGTGCGAATTTTAAAAGTCTGATCTAACAATTAATAGCGAAAATAGTTGACAAAAGTAATATTTGACAAAAGTTCCCAATTAATGGTACAATAGTTCAGTTGTGAGTCTCTTAAAATCCTACTAGCACAGACAATCGCCTTTTTCTTTACCCTGCTGCACCTACACTGTAAAAATGGTGTTTAGATCCTAAACACATTTCTAAGCACATCTTTTGTGCACTTTTTTTTACATGTTTAGATTTAAACGTGTCTCAGTACAATGTGTTTAGGATTGTGTTTAGAATTGTGTTTAGCTTAGAAAAAAGTGTTTAATTTCTAAACACTTTCATTTTTAAACACAGTAAAAGTGTTTAAATTCAAGACATGTTTAGATATTATGTGCTTACTGAGAAATGTGTTTTGAAATTAAACACAATCCTAAGCACGTTTAGATCTAAACATGTAATACAAGTGTTTAATTTCTAAGCACGACTTTTACAGTATACTGCATGACTTCTGGCATCTGTGACTAAAATGAATTGACCTTCCCCTTAAAATGTACATTAAAAAAGGTGTAGAATTAAGCTCTTCCTCCAAATGTTCAAATACATTTTGACCCTCTTTATTCCATTTAAATTTCATGCTTTTTAATATAAATTTGTCCGCAGATATGCTTCTTCTTAAAAATCAAGGTTAAATCTCTTTTCATATCATGCCAAGCCTATGAAACTACGGATTTCATTGACATAGTTAGGGACTGGCCAATCAGGAACTGTTTGTGGGTCCCCGGGGTGTGTGAGGGTGTGTTTCTTTGTATTTTGTTAATTAGGATGAGCATTCGTTTTATTTTTAGATACATACCTGTGAGCCAAGTAGATTGTAACGATAATGACTCGTACGAGTCAAGCAGTGGATATGAAGATGTTCAACATTTTAATATATCAGAAAGTATTTCTTATCCTGTAAGCCAACAAGCAAGGGATACCGAATTGACTCAGCTCACTCCTCGATGTATACCAAAATATGAAAGTCAGTGTACTTCGAAAGTATAAAATTAGCAATGTCCTTAAATTTTGGCGATATGAAAAAGCAGCATTACATTATCAGACAACATTTATCGACACCTGATTTTCTTGAACTTGTTGAAAACGAAAGAAACTTTTGAAGAACAATGATCGAAATGGCTTAATCTTATCCTTTGTATTCAATCTTATTAGAAAAATGTGTACTTGGTCTTTTCAGTAGTCCAAATTTTAAAGCTTTTTCAAAGCAAATTTTGGTATTTATTTTCTTTTTAACAAAACTCATATTGTTTTCAATAAAGCTGTCAACAAATCTGTCAATGGTATAGCTTTCTCCATAGAAGACACAAATACTGTATCTAATAGGCCTTGAGTCACCTAAAAATAGACATATCTATTTAGAAAAATCAAAATTGAAAATTATTTTGTTTTCATAAAACAAAATAAAAACCGTCATTTGGATGAAATTTTTTCTTGTAAGTTTTTGAGTTTTTGTTATTTGTCAAAATTAAGTGGACAACGTTTTCAGT